GCCCCGACCTGCTTTGGCTCGCACTCCGTGGACTGTACCCACTGTTCGACAAGCCCCAGTGAGATGAACCTGGTACCTCAGTTGGAAATGCAGAAATCACCTGTCTTCTGCGTCGCTCATGCTGGGAGCTGTAGACTGGAGCTGTTCCTATTCGACCATCTTGTAAGTGGTTAAATGACTCTTTAAAATTTATTTTTCTCTCTCTTCTTTTAAGTTCAGAGGTACATGTGTAAGTTTGTTACATGGGTAAACTTGTGTCTTGGGGGTTTGTTGTAGAGATTATTTTATCACCCAGGTATTAAGCGTAGTACTCATTAGTCATTTTACCTGATCCTCTCCCTCCTCCCATTCTCCGCCCTCTCATAAGCCCTAGTGTGTGTTGTTCCCTTCTATGTGTCCATGTGTTCTCATTTTGCATCTGCTTATAAGTGGAACATGAGGTATATGGTTTTCTGTTCCTGTGTTAGTTTGCTAAGGATAATGTCCTTCAGTTCCATCCATTTCCCTGCGAAAGACATGATATCATTCTTTTTTACAGCACTTTAGTATTCCGTGGTGTATATGTACCACATTTTCTTTATCCAGTCTATCATTGATGGGCATTTAGACTGATTTCATATCTTTGCTATTGGGAATAGTGCTGCAATGAACATATACATCTTGTGTCTTTACAGTATATCTATTACTAAATAAAGCATAGCGTTGTTTTGTATGATTTTAAATTATATATAAATGGTCTCGTACTGCCTATAGACTATTGTGAATCTAGTTCCTTGATTTTCCCACTGATGTATATTTTAGATTATTGGTTTCCACAATATATTTAGCTAGTTTACTATTGGTAAATTGGAGTTATTTCTAGAATCTTGCTATTTCACACAGTGCTACAACATTCTCTTACATAACTCTGGTGCCCATTTGTAGGAATTTCTTTAGGGTGTAAAACCAGCAGAGGAATTGCTGTGCCATCCGTAGCTTATTAACATTGAATTGTTTTCCAAAATTGTGCTAATTTGTATTCCTACCAGCAGTACATAGATGTTCCATTTGCTTCATATCTTTGCCAAAACTTTATTTTATTGGAATTTTTATTTCTTGGCTGATTTGGTAGTGAGAAATGTTTTGATTGTGATTTTAAATTGTATTTCCAAGATTACTCATAAGGGTCATATTTTTCACATTTTTATTTTGGTTTGTTTGTTGTGGTATAATTTGCATACAGTAAAATTCACTCTCTTTAGGTTTCTTAAGATTTTAATGACAATTTGGGCTTTCTCTTTTATGATGTGCCTGCCCATAACTTTTGTTCATTTTTCTCTTGAGTTGTCTGTCTTTTTCTTAAGGTTTTACAGAAGTTCTTAATGCATTGGGAGAATTCTTAGTAGACTGTTGTAATGCAAGTCTCCTATAACGTATCTTAAAAGTTTATAATTTTATCATTCATAGATAAGTCTTTATTCCACCTGGAAATGCTGGTTGTATATGGTGTGAGGTATAGGTCCACTTTCTTTTCCATCACGAATAACAAATGTCCTCACAACATTTATTGAAAATGCTCTTCTTTCTCAACCAGTCTGCAATGTGATTTAGAGCATATTGAAATTTTTCATATTCGTGTGATTCTGCTTCTGAGCTCTTCCTTGTTTTAGTGAATTAGTTATGTCTACTCCAATACCACACTGAACTATTATAACTTCAAAATAATTCTTGGTATATGAAAAGACCCCACTTTGTTCTTAAGGAGCACCACCAACAAAGATTGTTGAGATTTTGGTGCAGTTGCATTGGATCTATGTTGTCAGCAAAATTTTAAAATTTCACCATAGAGATATCTCTAATTATTTATTGTTGGTGTAACAAATCATCCCAAAACTTACTGACTTAAAAACAATAAAAAATCATCTTATTGCCCCTTATGGTTTCTGTGGTTGGGGTTCAACTGGCAGTTGTGGCTCCAGATCTTTCTCATGGTTGAAGTGAGATGGTGGCTGATGCTGGATGGGGTAAGGATGATGGGGAAGGAGGAATGTCCAGCAGTTGAAAGACAGCCAGACATCATACTTCATGCAGTTACAGGTCTCTGCCTGTGGTCTCTCTACACAGGTTGGTAGGCATTTCCTTGCAGCAAGGTGTACTGAGTTCTAAGAGCCAGCATCCTGAGAAATGGAGGTGCCAGTTTCTTTGAGACCTGCATTTGAAAACTGGCATAGTATCACTTTCACCAGATTCTGATGGTCAAGCAGTTGCAGAGCCCAGATTCAAGGAAGAAGGCATAGATCCCTCCTCAGGATGGGAAGGTTGTCAATTTTGCAATCATATTTTAAAACTGTGCAACTTTTATTAGATAGATTCTGAGAAAGATTTTTTAATGTTCTTTCCAAGTGGTGTCTGGTTTACAGATTGTATTTTCTAACGTTTGGTTGCTGATATATAGAAATAGTATTAAGTTATATGTCTCACCATATTGCTAACCTCTCATTAATTCTTATAATGTCTTTTGATTATTTTTTATTTCTATGTACAAAACCATGTCATCTCTGCATAATGACTTTCTATTTCTTTTTTTTCCATGTCTGGCTTCTTTCATTTATTGTCCTTGCCTCACTGTACTGCCTATGCCTCTAATTCAATGTTAATAAAATTGAGAAAAGCAAGAACTCTTCTCCCTAAGTTTGAAAGAAGTAATTTCACCCTTTGCAATGTAATGGTAGGATTGCTTTGTTATTTGTAGTTATTTTCTTTCATGTTAAGAAATTCTTTTGTATTTCTAATTTGCCAGGGTTTACCTAACAATATTTAACAGGTGTTGAATTTTGTCTAATTTTTAAAAATAGGTTGAGGTGATTATATGGCTTTTCTTTTTTAATCTGATTAATTTTTAATGTTAAATCAATGTTGCATTCCCAAAATATGACTCATTAGGTCATGAGTTATTATGATTTTTGTACATTGCCATATTTGGTTTACTAATACTTTCTTTAGCACTTTTTTCATCTGTAATTATTTGTTAGTCTTATAATTTTCCTCTCTTATAATGTCTTTGTCAAAATTTATTATCAAGATTATGCTGAGTTTCTGAAACAAGATGGGAATTATGTTACTTTTCTATACTCTAGTATAGTTTATAGTATAGATTAGAATTAATTGTTCCTTAACTGTTCAGTAGAACTCATTTTTTAAAAAAAATCTGAGGCTGGTATTTTTCTGTTTTTGTGTGCGTGTGTAAAAATATTTTATTTTTGTTTTATTTGATTTAACATTTATACAGCTATTCAGGTTTTCTAACTTTTCTTAAAATAGTTTTGGTAAGTTATTTCCTTTTTTCCTTCCTTTCCTCCCTTTCCACCTAACGTTAAATAAGCAAATGAAAAAACTTAAATTTCTTAATTTCTCTTAAATAATTGTTCGTTTTTAAGAATCATTTAAATAACATTAAGCTTTCTTTTGAATAATGTTTTACTTCTAAAAAGAAAGTGATTTAGGAAAGCACTTCCATTCATTATCACTATTAGTACTCGTTAAATCTTATCCAAAGTGAAAAAATAAGGAACCATGCAGAAGGTTGAAGATCCCCTCCCTCCAAAAATCAAGTGTTTCAGTTCATTTTAAAAGGATAATCATTAGATTTTTTTAAAAGGATAGCCTTGATTTAGGCCAATAAATAAATGCAGAGACATGTCCAGCTCAATGAGTGCAGCAGAACCATCCTTTTTTTTCCCCTAAACTATACACTGTACATGACTCCACTCACATCTTAAGAGATTCTGATGTACTCCCCATTCTGTTGAAAACCACTCTCTAGTGACCCATCATTTTTATAGGAGTTTATTTATTCCTCTGTTTTATCAAAACAAAAAGGTTGATAGATAAACTATTATAAACAATCAATGCTATCTCAGAATTGGTGTCCTAATCTACGGTTTAAATCAGAGCAGAAACATTTATTAGCGTGATTAATTCTGTTCCAATTTAAATAAAAACAACTTTATTTTTATTTATTTATTTATTTTTGGGGGGTACCAAATTTCTTTATTTGAAGGAATGGTACAAATCAAAGAACTTAAGTGGATGTTTTGGTACAACTTATAGAACAGGTAAAGGAAACCCCAACATGCATGCACTACCTGGGTGACCAGGGAAGTCACCCCATGGCTATGGAGAAATTAGCCTGAGGCTTAGCTTTCATTATCACTGTCTCCCAGGGTGTGCTTGTCGAACAGATAATCTGCCAAGCCAGATTCGGGTGCTCCCATCTTGCGCAAGTTGGTCACGTGGTCACCCAATTCTTTGATGGCTTTCACCTGTTCATTCAGGTAATGTGTCTCAATGAAGTCACACAACTGGGGGTCATTTTTGTCAGTGGCCAGTTTGTGCCGTTCCAGTAGTGACTGATCCACATTTTTTTCCAAATGTAAAGCACACTCCGTTGCATTCAGCCCGCTCTCCCAGTCGTCATAGTCTGGTTTCTTGATATCCTGAAGGAAGATTCGGCCACCTCGTTGGTTCTGCAGCTTCATCAGTTTCTC